ACACAACCAAAGGTGTCGCGTCAGCGCGCTTCGGAGTTTGCTGTCGGGTACCGGGCAATGACGCGAGCGGCTTAGTGAGGCGTCAACTTGCCGGTGGCACTGATTGCGACAATACTCAGGATGCTTTGCCGGATATACTCAGGAAACGCAGTCATGTGAAGTTCGAAAGGCTGAGGATCAGGGCGGTGAAACACCAGCAGCAAACTCCATGATGCAACTGTCGACAATGTCGGGTCGGGATGCAGGCTCAAAAATGCTGAAGCCGCATGGCCAACGCGAAGTTGTTTCTGCTCCGAATGCATTGGAGCTGCAAGACATTCGTTCCCCGGCTTTGCCCCGATACTCAAATCCTAGACCCTAAACCGTAAACCCTGTATTCCGGACACCTTTTCAGGCGATGGAAAAGAGGTGATAAAAAAAAAAACGTAAACCCTGAACATTACAGCTCGCGTTGATTCATCCAAAGCCCTCTCCCGGCCAAGGCGTTGGCGGTCTGGCCCCGTCTTCCTGGAGCCAGCACTTGCAGGCTCTTCGGTTTAGGGTTTTAGGGTTTAGAGGTTAGGGTTTAGGGGTTTAGGGTCGGTTTAGGGTTTTAGGGTTTACGGTTTAGGGGTTTAGGGTCCAGGGCCCAGGGCTGACTTTCGGGGAATGGGCACTTTGCCCGGCATTATGAGTCCTAGCTGACACTGGGGTCTGAACATTTTAAAGTGGTTTGGGATCATGCTTACAATTACAACCAGGTTCATCTTTTCTATGATTAGCATTGCTGCTGCCGTTGTCGGTGTTTTGTCCAACAGGGGCAAAGTTACTAGGATGGTATTGGTAGTCGTACTCGTGCAGGTATTGGCGGAATTGGAATTCGTCTGGGCAGGGAAGTAGCGGCTGAGTAGCGTTCGAACGGGTATCAGAAAACTGTCGTATAATGGTTCTTATTAGTGCGAGCATTCTTTATCCGTATCATCTTCAATTGTTATAGTACGTGACCATCTCAGATTTTGGGTAATGGTCCGTATCACGATGCACAGGTCTGCATATTATAAACACATTCATATGTATGTGCTACCCTAGCCCGTTTAGCTACACAAAAGCATCTATCCATAAGCATAATGTACGTGCCGGCAGCCTGGCGCCTATTCTAGCCCGTTTAGCTACACAAAAACCTCTATCCATAAGCATAATGTACGTGCCGGCAGCCTGGCGCCGACGCCGCAAGGCTTCGATTATGCCATGACCTTGGACACGGACTCCTACTTTCCGGGCCCTTTGGGTCCGCAGCTTACTGAACTGTGCCACGAGGGTCCAGGGCGGCCCCCCCCCACCCCAGGGCTTTCAGTAAGTCAAATCTTGCTACAACAACAACTTCCTGCAACACACCGGCACGAACTCGATTGCAAGGGTCTCTGTAGCCAGAAGACGAGGTGAGGATCCCTTTGAAGTGCTGCATGCGCAGGGCTGGGGCCTGAGGCAACAGCCTGTGGCTTGGTTTTGCGGGTTCGCCTGTAAGAGGGGGTTGCTCCGTTGGTTCCAGAATAGGACTAACCCTAAACCCGTAAACCCTAAACCCAAAACCCTAACTTGTGCAGTCTCTTTCCAGAGGCTTGGCGGCAATGTTCCCCCACCTGGGCAGGGAGTCGGCCAGTGCAGGGGGCTCAGCTTGTGAGTGCTACTGGCAGCCTACTGGCAATCTTGGTGCCCAGAGAGTGGCACTTGCAGGTGGTGGTGAACTTCATGCACTACTTCTTGCTTTACTGCAGGCTCCAGAAACTGGATCCTCGCCGCACGAGGAGATTTGGGCCTTGCTGGCGTAGGCTCCGACCGATTCTGTCCTTCCGAGCAGGATGCTCGCGGCTTTGATCGAGAAGAACTACAAGTGGTACCAGCAGCTTTTCTCAGTGTATGTGCATCACCTCATTCCTTGTATCGGAGCTTAAAACGTCAGACAACCCGAGGCAGTGCCTGATGCTGGATATCGAGATCCTTCGGTTGGATTGGTTCCGTGGGCCGGTGTACCAGGACTCTCTGGGAAGGCTTTCAATTCTTGGTCACTGCTGTTGTCTGAGTCTCCAGTTTATGTGTATGATTCACTTGAGTACGTTGAGTACCATCGACGATGCTGCAATGTTGATGTACCTGACACATGGGTAGTTCTCTAAATTAGGGTCCTTTTTAAGACTCCAAACAGAATATGGCACCCTTATAAAAAGGGACCCCCAAAGGGACCCTAATTTAGAGAACTACCCACATCCGAAGGACTTCTTCCGGTACATGGACTCTGTAGGCCGGCTCTTTCGATTTCCGTTGACGACACAGCGAGCCTCCTTTGCTCTTTGCCATCCCGGGGAGAGGTGGCTTTTGGATCCACCGCTGGGGCAACAATCCGGTTGCTGGGCCCAGCATGGATTCTCTTGCAGGGCGATGTAAACTTTTCGGAAGCTTTGGGAGAGTAGTGTCCGTCGGGACGTGAAGTGCTACCTGCAGCTTTAAGTGGTCAATGAATGCCGCAAGGTTCGGACCTTCGCCGTAACGCTCCTCCTGGAGGATGAGGAATGGCTTTCAAAGGTCGTTCTTGACGACCGAGCACCGCCTTCAAAACGTTGTCTGCTTTGGTGAGGATGTTCGCACGGCCTTCCTCCCCTATGCCCATCAGGTGGGGTCGGCGCAACACCTTGCCCAGTGGAAATGCAGATATGACGGCAACAAGTAGCAGCAGTCAATAGCACACCTCAGTGCGATCTTAGACTCAAGACTCGTCCGATGTTTGCAAGATTGCCTGTCAGGATTTTTGTTCCTGCGGGGCGGGGCGCGCCTGCCAGTGGATTTCCGAGAAGGAGGAGCTTGATGTGATAGTCCGTGTGTGGGTCTGTGAGTGAATAGTTGACTAATGCAGGGAGCGAGTGATTGAGTGGCGGAGTGACCGCCGGCATGAATGCATCCGTTCATGCATGCATCCATTCCCCGTTCATCAGATATCTGAGGCAATGATTGACATGACCAACGAATCGTTGCGGAAGTACCAGTGTGTGTTTGCACATTGTATGTATATGTACACGCCATTACACGCCCACTAAAACAACTGTCCGTCTTACCCCGTCCTAGCAAGGAGCTTTTTGGGCTTTTCTTCACATGCAGCAGCCGCTTATGCATGCGCAGGAACGGTCTTCTGCCCACTTCTACTACAGTTGCTGCTGCTGCTGCTGCTGCTGCTGCTGCTGCTGCTGCTGCTGCTAATACCACCCTTCATCGCACTACGACTAGTATGACGACCGGTACAGACGGCTGTTACACGGCTTGTTTTGGTCATAAGTCCTTTCTCCTAGTCTGGCTCTTCGTACTTGCTACTAGATGATGAAATCGTGATCTCACGCGACAACATCACATCAACTAAGAGCTTCTCTGTTGCTCAGTGGATCAGACAGCACAGTCAATCATCAAGAGTCATTTTTGCACGGATGGGTTTCCTTCGTATCCACAAGTCGAGATGAGTATTTCTCTCGGATGGGGTCTCCTATGTAGGAATAGCAGAGCTAGGCAATACTCAGTGGCAATGTTTTGTTCGAGCATTGCATGATGTCTAATCTATGTCCCTCTTGCATGCGTTTCAATGCCAAGTAGCGAAAACCTGGTAGATAGCCATGGGGTTTGCGCATCCATACTGCACTGTAGCTACCTATCTACCCGTGTATCTATCTGCATGTCTGTGCATCTGGCTACCGTTTCAGCAAGCCTGGTGAACAGCAGACGAACAGGGATCTGCAAAGCTCTCATCAACCATATGTTTTTCGGCAGGCTCGTTTTGTTCGTGATGTCTCATTGAGTTGGTTCAGCCGATTTGTTGGCAAAATCTCCAATACTTCAAGAACTTATCCTGTTTATTTGGGTCACTTCATTCCCACGCGAAGAGTCCGAGACCCCCAGAGAAGCAGCCAAGGCCCTGCATATGTACATACATACAAAGATAACTAGAGATATGTATATCTGTATGTATACATACACATACACACATACGATATTCATACACGCACGCACGCATGCACACACACACACGCACACACACACACACACACACACATATATACACACACACACACACGCACACACATCTTAAAGTCCAGGAGTACACTTGCGACGAGAAGCCTGGATCTTGGCCTGGGTGGCGTTGCGGCTGGCATTGACCACAAGCAGATGCAGCCGTGTGACTAGATACCTAGCTTGGCTACCCTCAGCACTGCGTTGTCAGTTTATCATACAGGATGCATGCAAAGCCTCTTCCAAGGTCGGAGCCTGCGGCTATTGCAATGGAGGAGCTCGCAGAAGGATTGCTTGACTTGCAGCCCGGTGCCTAGAGGAGTTGTGCAACTACAAGCAGGGAAGGGCGTGCGTGCCATGTAGCCACAGGCCATGTCAGAGTGCGTTGTCAGGAGAATACTGTGAAAACGGTCGTTTCTCTGGTGTCTACAATAAGACTGAGATGTGACACAGGCCCTGCTGATCGATCTCTGATTGTAAGGCCGTGGCGTGGATCAGCCCGCCAGCTGAGTCGACAGTCCCAACAGATGGACGTGATTCGCTTCGCTTCCGGGCAAACTTGAGGCATTGATTGCATCGGGCCCGGGGACATTGAGCGGTTTGCTTTTGGTCGAAAGCCGTGAAATCGGAGATGACTTCTCTGGCAGGTGCCGGGTTGCCCGATGACTTGCCACTGCTAACGGACCCCCGCGACCTGAATCGATCGCGGTCGAAAAAGTTCTCCTGCCCAGCATCAGGTCGGAAACGTGGCAAGCTACTTGGGGGTTCATGGGTAGTTTCAAATAGGGTTATAAGTAGGGTAACTATACTTATAACCCATATTAGGGGACTTATAACCCGACTTATAACCTCCAAGTAGCTCCGAGCTAGCAACTGTCGCTCTGCAGATCTCGTTGCTCTGTGCCTCTGGGGAGGGGGCCATAGGCGAGCTTTCCACGGACGTCCTAAGCCTCCATACGCCGGTCCACGCGCAGGAACGCAAAATGGCCGACCTGTCAGTTCTGGCGTTCACGCTGGTGGTTGGAGCCATCCACAGGCGTCTCTGTGGGCGGGCTTGGCGGGGCTATATTTGCAAGCTGCATGGCCGTCTGAACTATGAACTCAAGATACTCGTGGAGTAATGTTGAGTATATGCGGTGCTGCTTCATTGAGCCTGTGTTTCTGGCAGCAGCGAGGGTCTCGCCTGCTTTCCAGCACGGGATGGCAATGAATAGCGGGACTGATTGAGTGGCAAAGCGAGAGAAGCCTTTCACTGCACTTTAAAAGGGCGGTGCTGGCCTAGACACCTCTCGTTCGGACCCACTCGTTTCATTGGGCCATAGTATATGGAAGGCGGCTCGCACATCAGTGCACCGAACCAGCCCTTGCTGGGAGCAAGCACCCCAATTGCCCGAAACGTTGCCTGAGACGACTGCCACAGGTCGCCAGTCCTCGCGTCGTACCGGCAACATCCAGGGCTTCAGCAGCGGCTCAGGGATCAGTGTGCGCCTGCCAGCTTGCGGGTTCGTTTGGGAGTTTGAAGCTAAACATATTCTAGGGGAAAAATATTTTTCCCCTATAACATGTTTAGTACTGGCTTTCCGTCACCTGTCGGCACACCCTGCATCCGGAATCGTTCATCCACTCGCTGAGCTGGTGCAGTAGCGCCAGACATTTCCGATCGTCAATCCTCATTATATGACTGGCTCAGCAGGGCAGAATCACTCTTTTTTCAACAGCAGGAAATCCCGCCCCCTCCCTGCGCAAGAAGCCGGACTTATCCAACTCTAAACGAAGTCTTGCGACCAGGCAGAGTCGATCTTAGCTTCGGCCTGCATCGAGGCTGGGCTATCGAGGCCCCCGGATTTGAATCCAGAATGTAGCTTGTTTGGAGATGACACCCTAGAAATCCTTGTTGGGATGCACAACCCTGAGCCAGATTGCATTTGGGAGGGGCTCCTACGTGTGATGCTTCTTGGGCTATTTTGGCTTGTTGATTGCGCGGGCTTCGGTTTGGAGTTGGGATTCCCTCTGCATGCTGGCCAGGTTTCGGATATCGGTAGCAAGCACATTGCGTTCTCTTTCAAGTCTCTTCGCATCGACTCTTCGTATGAGCATGTCTGCAGGGCGCTGTGGGCAGCGACTTCAAGATTGATGCTTCCTACATCTCGCCGAATGCTGCGACCCTACACTGCCCGGCAGAGCCCAGGGAGCCCATGGAAGTTTGCCAGGGCATGTTTTGCTTCCCAGGTCAGCATTGCCAATAGCATCGAGCATGCGACCAGGCGCCTGTGTGGCTGCTTTTGGCGGTGGTTCTTTGGCTCACCAGGTGGCTACCAGGCTTTTGAGGAGGGCTGGGTTCCATTCCGAGCTCAATCCCGACGCAGGAAATATGGCGTCAGGATATTGATCTCCCAAACAGCCCAGAGCTTACACCAGCTCGCAGCATTGGAAGATGCGGAGCTTCCTGTTCTCCGATCTCCTCTGCGTCTCTCAGGTGGCCCAGTGCTGCACGAAGGAGATGTCCAGTAAGATGCGCTTGATCGACAAGGCTGGGTACTGTCCGGAACCACATCTCATTGGCAAACCATGGCCTCTGAAAACCCGGCATATGGGAAGCCACATGGTTGCACAATTGTTGGGGCGGCGAAACTGTGGGGCATGCCATGAAGGTCACAATCAAAGGCTCGCTTGTGCCTTTGGAGCTGTACTGCCTGGACTTGGACTTCAAGCGACTTCAGGCCCGTCTCTCGTAGTGGGTCGCCGGTGCAATAGATATGAGACACGAGCCGGCAGGCAGGGCTGACATGTATGTGCACACATCATACGCTGATTTCAGAATGTTGACATCTTTGTGAGCGGATACACTACCCATTACGATGCAGAGGCACATAAAACACTGTCTGCGTTCACAACGGAACATTACTGTGCCAAACATCCGGATGCGGCATGACAGGAGAGAGTCTAACATCACCTAGCTCGAGGAAAGACGAAGCACTGCAGAAGATGTAGCAATAGTTGAGTCTTGACGAACAGTTCAGTCGGAGAAGCTTTGCACTGCTGGCAGCCTTAGCACTCAGCATGTGCCGAAAGGTTCGTGCAAGTTTGAGTTTGGCGTCGTTTGCCGCTTGTGACAGCTGGAACGCCTTCTTATGCTGACCTTGTTTGTCAGTGTTTGTCTTTTCAGGTGTGTACAACACCCCAGGAGCCCTTTAAATTAGAGCCATCACAGCTCGGTAGTGGCATTGCTCATAGCATCTGTAGGGCATGTCCGGACCTGCCAAGTCCCGCTTCCTGGTCTTTGCGTGCTGGGGAGGGTTGTTGTCTAGATTGCTATAATAATATTTACCATAACCGACTATATAACTTACGGTGATATACTACTTTAATATACTATACTATGATATGTTCTGTAATATGCTACAATAAAATCATCCAACCTGTTGGACGGCATGGCACGCGTCCAAAAGTTGTTCTCGCCAGCCTGGTGTTGCTGCGACTTCGGCGATTCCTGCATTCTCATATGCACTGACGCAGACGCAGCAAAAACAGCCAAATCCGACCAATCTTTCACATGTATGATTACATCCAAACTTCCCAGGTGCACACACAGTTGCCGAAATTAGAAGTGCCGTGATGGGGAAGCTGGAGCGCATTTTTGCAGATCATCTGCCGGTGAACAGGTCGAGGACCGGCCGGAGTTGCCGATCACGTGGAACTCGCGCTATCGCTTCAAGCCTGGACCCTCGCGGGGTGTTCCAGGGTTCAAGGTTCCTGGTTTCGGGATGAGAGGTTTGGAGGTGTTTCTGCTGTCGTTTAGGGATTTTTAGGGTGTGCCGAAGGCGCAAGGAAGAGGTCTGCTCGAATCCATGCGTGTGAGGTGCGTCCGGTGTATCTTTTATTACATTGCAAGTGAGACTTGCTTGCACCATGCATCGTCCATGCTGCAATCCTTAAGGCTGCTCCGTGATCTTATCCCGAAACTGACTCTGACAGCTTTAAAAAAATCAAAGGCGATTGAACGATTGAACCCGGTAGAAGGCTAAGAAGTAACTTTTGCTTCTATTAGATTTAGGTTTTTGTTCCTATTGGACGTAACTTTTTCCTACCTACCCCGCCTACCCCCCACTACCCCACCTGCCCCACCTACCCCACCTCTCCCGCCTACCCCCACCACCTACCCCACCTGCCCCACCTACCTCACCAACCCCCAACCAACCTGCAAACGAGAACCCCAAGGAGTGAATCCAGCGAGAACCCTTACCCAAGACGAAAACCCTAACGAGTGGACTATCCAAGACGAACACCCTATAGAGTGAATCCAGCAGGAACCTTTGACCGAAAACGGCAACTCTAAGGAGTGAACCTTTCACCGAAGACGAAAACCCTAAGGAGTGAATCCAGCCGGAGCCTTTGACCGAAACCCTAAGGACCGAATCCAGCGGGAACGCGTGACCGAAGGCGAAAACGCTAAGGAGCGAATCCAACAGGAAACTTATCCCGAAGACGAAGACCCCCAGGAGTGAATCCAGCAGGAACCCGTGACAGAAAACGCAAAGCTTAAGGAGTGAATCCAGCAGGAAACCTTTACCGAAGAACCCGAATTTACCTAAGACGAAAGCCCCCAGGAGTGACTCCAGCAGGAACCTCTTTCCGAAAGCGAAAACCCATGAGGAGTGAATAGAGCAGGAACCTTTTACCCAAGACGAAAACCCTAGGGCCTAGGGAGTGAATACCGAAGGCGAAAACCCATAAGGAGTGAATCTAGCGAGAACCTTTGACGCAAGACGAAAACCCATAAGGAGTGAATCCAGCAACAACCCTTTACCCAAAACGACTACCCTAAATGAACCTTGTGTGACTGTTCGGGTTTGTGCTGAATAGCACAAGAATTGCCATTTTGGCGCTAAATACAGCGGAAAAGTTAAGACACCATAAAAGTTAGTGGCTTGGTGCTAAAGACACCAAAAAAGGTATGACTAAGACGCTTGTTTTGCAAACATCTGCAGAGATTTGCTGTTTTTTAGAGCCGAAAAAGGTTACAACTTGGTCATTTTGCTGAAAAGCCGGAAAGTTACATCAAAGAGAAAGAAGTCACAACTCAGTGTTCCACCTTGAACAATACACCGCAAACCCCAAAACCCCAAACCGTGAAACCCGAAACCCAATACCTTAAAGCCCCCGAGCTCTACACCATGGAATCCTGAGCCCTCAACCCTACACCCTAAACCCTAAATCTGCTCAGAGTGATGGTGCTGCCAAAACAACCCTAAATCCCAAACCCTAAACCCTCAACCCTAAACCCTAAACCCTAACCCCTGAACCCTTAAGCATAGCCTCTGACGCCTCGAAGCCTTTCCGTGCCTGAGGTCGAGGCACGCCATGGAGGCCCCCAGACCCTGCGGTCATGCTTTGAAATCTGTAGAATTCCAGGCTTTTGGAGTTTAGGGTTTCGGGGTTTAGAGTTTAGGTTTTACAGGTTGAGAGTTTAGGGCTTCGTTCCTGGGGGTTTTACCAGAGGTTTTAGGATTCAGCTTTATTCTCAAGGCAAGGGGTCTTGAGAGTGTAGCGACTTGCGGCACTGGCTTTCGGGGATCCCTGACCGCCAAGCTCCGCACAACCCGCCCGAAATGGAGATGCAAGGCCGTATGAAAGAGCCCCCAAAACAAGTCAACAATGTAAACTGTGGATCATGCCCTGCCCGCACGGTTTAACGCCTCGGCCTCCCCCCAAGGAGGTGTATTGTGCGTTCAGGTATTAACATTGGTGATGGCCGCATGGATAACCTCAGACCCTCCCCTCCTCCACCAAAACCATGCTAAGAAGCCTGCAGAGCCAGCGCAGCCTTTCCTCCCCCCCCCCCACACACACCACAAAACAAACTCCACCCCAATCCCCAAAACCTAGAACAGGGTTTTGGAGCCCATTATACTGTAATTATAGTAAGGAAGCCCCAGAATAGCATTAAATCCCAAAGCTGAAAGTCTCAGCTCGGGATTGGGAGCCGTGAGGTCGGTCCCAACTTTTCAGTCTTGGATCCGTGGTCATAAGCTCGACTCGTGGTGATCACGACCAGTTTTATGATGGCCTTTGTTGGTATTATTAATATTCTTGTGCGTGTTGCTTCAGATTCTACAGCAACACTCAGAGAAGCAGCTACTTGCCCGCTGCTGCCCCTCTTCTGTCTCCCAGATGCGGAAGAACCATCTCTGGGCTGACGAGTTCTCCAAGGCAGCGCCATTTGCCACTGTGCCTTGTCGTGTCGAATGCAGCCCTGCAAGCATGTCAATGAAGAGATATACCGTAAAGCAAAAGAAGAGCACTATTTAACTTCCGGTATATTTCTTAATTGACATTGAGGGATTCTGACTGTTCTGGCCAAAGTGCTTGCATGACACTTGCTGCAGGCACATATCTTGAAGAAGGAGCCGCTTTACCTTTGATGTCGCTGATGTCGCACAAATTAATGTTCAAGATGCTCGACAAAGTAGGGCCCATATTTCCAGCGTGCCAGTTGAGCCAAGAAGAGACTTTGCTCCTCCTGCAATCTTGCTGCTACACATACGGGTCAGGGCAATGCGCTGCTTGTTCCTGCAGTCTGTGTCGGAGCTGATGCAGGACCCTCATTTCCAGGAAATGCGCACTCCCTACACGGACCCATTCCTGCAAAAGTTCAACATGGGGTGCCCTCGGAGCAATGAAGCGTCTGTTCATTAGGAGCTGTTTCTGGAGTGACATGTAGCTGTCGACCTGATTGTGGCAAACCCCCGTTTTGGTCCGATCCAGGTACCAGAACTATGCTCAAGGCGAGTGGCAGGTTGCCAGAAATCTCTTGATTCAGACGCACACCATGCTCCGTGACAAGGACGCCCGGGAGTTTCAGTGAGTTTCACCCCTTTTTTTTGCCCTCCTAACCCTAAACCCTAAACCCTAAACCTGGAGCCCCTCCAGAAACCCCCTTGTAGGTCTTGGGGTCATGTCGGCGCTGCACCCACAACGAAAGCAGCACCCTCGTCTGGAGGATGGGCCGAGCGAGGCCCTCTTACGCTTCATGGAGAAGCCCCACCAGTTCAAGGCCAATATCGTGGCCATCATGGCTCTCACATGGAAGTGTCACATTCAGAAACTGTCTTCATCAAGGTCCCTGGACTGCTATGCGCTATCATCTTCTACCGTTCGGTAGACTACTGTCTAGTTTTAGAAGCTGGGAGTTAGAAGAAGTAGATTCCCATCATCTCGGAGTCTTGTCTGCAGGCTCCGGAAGGTTGGCGAGGCACGGAAACACGCCCCCTTCCCTCCCTGTCCGTCATTTCAGAACTTTTGACGGTTGGGCCTGGCATGCTTTCACAATCGGAGCCTCGAGATCTTTGTGGCTGTTGAAGTTGAAGTGCGGCGTGCTTCGAGTTGAGGAGTGTGGTCTTTGACCCCCCCCCCCCCTGTCGGCCGAAGCTCCGTTCATGCCGTCGGTACCAGTAGACCCAGACTCGTCGAGGTGTCCACGCGCTAGAAGATCGTTGGTGAGCTCTATGCCGTGAAGGGTCATCACCTTCAGATGGCGACGAATACCACTGTGAGGTGTGAGCCTTCGCCTCGGAAAGAGCAGCTCTTGCGACCCTAGCTCGGCTCACTTGTTTCCATTTTTCCGCACCTCACCTAGCATTTGAGCAGTGTTTGAGCAAATGTTCAGCGACACGACTTGGACCCTGCAAACAGGCCTAGTCACTCCACTCAGGATCTTAGACCCATGTTGCAAACTTTGCAGGGTCGGTGGTCGTGTGGAGAGGAGCCGACGAGCTCCAAACCGAAGGCCTCATGAAAATCAGAGGTCTTGTATCAACACTTTTCACCAACAGCTATCATAGGTACAGTCCGAGGCCAAAACTGTGCGACGCCAATGGCTTGCAGCTAAGAGCTGTCGGGAGACCATCATGGCCCCATGTAACCTGCGAGAGCACTTTCGCAAGAGCCTCTCACGGCTGGCCCGAGACATGGATTTCGCGATGACATGACGAGATATTGTCAATCTGTCTTATTTGTTTCACCACACCAATTCAGCCAAATGCAGCCTTAGCAAAAAGCAAGTTCTGCCTTGCCTACACATATGGGCATACCGGAGAGAAATTTCAATATCATCAAATTATACATATTCTTTCCTCTGACTTACCATTACTTTTCTGGGCATCTTATTAGTATAAGACTAGATCCGAAATAGATGAGATATATAATATATTTATGTTATTCTGGTTACTTCGGATTCATAAGATATTTATCCATATGAAAATTTTATAAAAAAATACCATATTATGAACATTTGTGGACTCTATCTTTAATCTAGAAAATGCTATACTAGTTTTCTAAACGAGATGATGTGGTTTTATATTGAATACATTGGGAAATTAATGATCTTATAATAAGAAAATTAATATATGTATCTATATTTATTTTTCTCTTAAAGGTCTTTAGAATTTGATATTCTGAATTTGGGATAATTTTTGCGATATATATTTAGGATGTGGGATATATGTGGGTCGTTGGGAGCATCGTGGATTGTCGGTGATGGTGTCTCGAGAGAATTGTGAGATTGGTAGGAGAGGGAATATAAAATTTGGGGAATGGCGAGGGATAAAGGAGGGTCGAATGAAATCGGCAAGTGGCACCAAAATATATTTATAATATTATAGAATGGTTGGATTGCTATATGGAATGATGGCATATGAAAATTATGAAGAGATTATTAAAGGAGAAATAAAAAAATATGAAAAAAACTGAATCGAGAAATAATAGAATTAAAATAAAAGATATTAAATTATGTATAAGATATTATGAATAATTAATTGAAATCATTATTAACATTATTAATATTATAGATTTCTATATTAAAGAATATTTCGAATAGAGATAATATATTATAATTTCATAGGGAAAGCTTCATGAATAATAATGATATTCTACTTGATTTTTATTACAAGATTCTGAATTCACAAAAAAAATTTTAGATTAGATTTCTATATATATAATGAATATATTTTTTCGGAATCATATTCTTGATTTTATAAATATTTAAGTAAGAATCAAATAAATTATAAGAGTATTTATATTATTATATTCGAATAGAAAAATTTATGAATGGTTTAATATATCGATATCTTGGAAGCCGAATCAAACTAAGATATTGAAAAAAAAATATTGAAACCTAATTTGAATTTAATTAAAAATATAAAAGCTATTATTTTTTTAATAGATTTCTTGAATTTAAATATTAGATTTCAAAGAATTTATTATAAAAATATTGAAAGAATTCTTTTTTCTTTAAATATCCTTGATACTATTGATTATATTAAAGAATATAGATTTTATAGGAATATAATTTTATTTTATAATCAAATAATCAAATATCGAAAATTATATAGGTTATAGACCCAGAAAGGACTCATAGAGAGACGCGAGAACAAATATATGAAAAGAGGAAAAGAAATATAGAGCCAGAACTATGGAGCGAAATAAATAAAGAAAATCAAATTAAATATATATAACCAATTTCAAATAAATATATATGAAATTTATTTCTAAAAAATAAAGAAAGAAATTTTCTAGAAATATGGGGGGTTTCCGAAAATAGGGGGTAGCTTATATAGGAGATCCTTGTAATAAGGATCCTATTATTTGGGGTTACTATATTAGGGTCCCCATACATATAAAAAAACGACAGATTCAAATTCGTATTCAGAGATATATACACGCCCATAAATATACAAATATAGATTAAGGATATATATACCTGTATTCAAAAATTATTCCACTATAACTCGCGACTATAGAATTTCGGAATTTTATTACTACGAATATCTTCAAAAAATTCTAGAATTCATATAATTACTAGCATATTTTCTGACAATTTTAATTCTAAGAGCATATCTAAAAATCAAACATATTTAATTTCGAGAAATCTCGATAAGAAGATTCCTAATCTAGATTTGCAATAAAATATTAAATCGTATCCTTTTAAAAAAAATATCCTTTTAAAATAAAAATATTATTTCTATCTCCGCCAATTCGAGATCAAGAATCTCTGAGTCCAGACCCAGTGTTGTGCCAGAAGATCCATCCCCGCTCAGAATCTGAATCCCAATATTCAAATCCGAGCACCCGGAACACGAACCCGAAACACACAAGACAAAACCTATGGATCCCAGACGCAGAACGCAAATCCGGAAAATCCGGACCAGAACCGCGGAACCGAAACAGCCGGAACCCAGAGGCAGAAAACGCAACCGGAAAGACCCGGTACGCCGGAAGCGGCGGTTTACTACAGTTGTTAAGCAACGAAGTGCAATCATCTTTGAGTGAGTGTGTGAGTGTGGATTTGGGGTGCTGTCCGGCCCACGAAAACGATCCCTCTCGCCTTCTTTGCCCCTCCGCATGCTTCATCGGGGCTCCGGTGCAAAGTTCAACGGAGCACACCTAAACCTCCGTGGGTCCACCGGTTTGAGTTGGAATTAAACATTTGTCAAGATGAACCTCACCGAAGACACTGGCAAGATACTGGCTGAGAGGCGGGGGTGGTAGTGGTCGAACAAACACGCGCACACGACAAGACAGCGAGACTGAAGGCAAAAGCACTATCTCACTATCAGCTGCTACCCTCGTGGCTGCAGGTACTCGAACAGTGTCCCCCTGGCGTGTGGGGCGATTCCTGATGCTACAGGCATCACCCCTCGACCTAAACCATCCAACATTCACAAGAAATTAGTACGGCAAGATGTGCGAAAACCGGTACCGGTAGTGCAAGATTTGTGAACGGTGACGGCATCGTGCACCAGGGCTGCACAAGAGGCCATACGAAGAGATGAGGCCGCATCCACCACAGCGATTTATTGGAGAATAGCAGGTCATAGCGCAAAAACACAGGGAATTTCAATAAGAGTCAACTTATGCATTCCTGTTAATTTCGCACCATTGAAAATGTAAATTCTTGAGTCTTAAAATCCAGTGCCGATAAAACTTACTCAGACACGACATTATCAGAAACTTTGTATGTCCTTCAGTATGTACAGGCCGGATCATACCAAATACTTACGTTAGTGGATCATGTATCCTATGAACGGAAGCTAAATAGTTGGATCTTGTTTATCTTGCAACACAAGCCATACACATGCATAGTCATACGCCAAGTAATAAGATGCCACATCTTTCTCTCTCGTCTGGAGTTCCAACAGTTGAGAAAGATCGGGCCGAATCTCAGGTCCAATAGAGATGTTTAGTTGGACCTCGGGGCATCGATACATGCGAACCAACGTTCATATCTGCAAACAGGGCTATGGTTAGCGAGGGGCAGCAAAGCTAAGGCTAACACCAGCGGCAATAGCATGCTGAACTGCCTCATGGCGCCAACCTCGGCTTGCACTGCGAGTCGAAGAATTTGGCGTGGCCACCCCAGCGAGGCATGTGGTACGTTTGTCTGTCTGCACGGCGGGCGACACAGGACAAACATGGGGCTCCCGTGACGTAAAGTTGCACTCGACCGGATGGGCGGCAGGATGTCTTCGACAAGGCTGCCTGAGCCAGATTCGCTGCTCGTGAGCATCACCAGCACAGCACACAGGCTTTGTGGCGGGTAACTGAATTCAATCCGGCAAGGTGCGTCGTGCAACTTTTCATACAACTTTGACAGGAGTTGGTTCTCACTGCATAGGCTCCGATCCACGAGGACGTTGAACCTTGGGCTTTTCAAGACATTGGCATGATTGAACCCGCAATTTCACCCTTTGGCTGCCTCATGACCTGAGGGAACCTTCACCAATGGCAAAGCTTTCTGAGTATGGAGCGGCAGGGCGGTGGGACGCAGCCATTCCTCCCAGGTGACACAATGAAGGTCTTGGATTCGAGCAATATATAGCGGTGGTTTGTCCTTGTACCAGCAACACTGTTTTTGACATTGCGGGTTGTGGCTTTTTCCACTCCCTGCCCTTAGGGTTTGCCAGTCGTTTACAGGTAAAGCTAAACCCCAAACGACCTAAAGTCCCAACCCTAAGCCCTTCTCTTAGGGTCGTTTTTGTCATGTGCCACGGAGCGATTGCAATGTCTCCGTAGATCTCTCTATGGCACCCAGTCGCAACTGTGCTACGTTGTGGGATTCGTCTGGACCTAAACCGCCTTAGCCGCCCGGAGCTCAACCATGAAATGCCTGGAGGAGGCACCTCAATGACCCTTTTCCTGAGTTGAACACGCTGTCGTTTGAGCTACCCAGCAAGCAACACCATATGGCAACGGAAAACATTCCATCACACGTCAAGGAGACCAAAGCCCTTATGAGAAAGGTTTGCAACTTCCCTTTTAAAGATTTAAGCACGTGCGGCTCGCCTTAAACCTTCAGAGTGGCACATGGGGCCGCAGTCCGTAACAATAAAGATCATCAAACCAGCAACAATGATCGTAAGAAACCGTTCAGCCGTTCATCCTTGGAAGGACGCCAGCCATCAAAGCCATTCTTCTGGAAGCGCAGCGAGGTCACCTGAACCGGG